AAGTAAGTAAAAATTTAAAAAAAAACTCATTAAAAATTTCAGCCAGGGCTAGGGAGATAGTTCAGTAAAATAAGCACTTGCCTGGCAAGCACAAGGTCCTGAGTTCAATCCCCAGTACTGGAAAAAAAAAATTTCAGCCAACAGCACTCAGGAGGCTGAGGCAGGAGGATCACTGCAAAGACGAGCCTGAGCTACAAAGTTAGCTGAGGGCCAGCCTGAGCTGCATTGCAACACCCTGTCTGAAAAAAAAATTGTTTTAACCAATACAAAAGACTTATATTAAGAAAAAAAAAAGGGGCTAGAGAGATGGCTCAGTGGTCTAAGGCACCTACTTGGAACAAGCTTGATAAAGCACAGGGACCACCGTTCGGATTCCCCCAGCACCACATGCCAGCCAGCTGCGCCCCCTGGTGGGCTGAGCTGGCCACACTCACACACACACACACACACACACACACACCCCAAAATAAATGTTAATAAATAAATAAATTTTTTAAAAAAAGAAAAAAAATGGGATCAGCAAAAGACAGTATGCAATGTGTTAATTATTGAAACTGTCCTACCAATTTGATTTGAAACTGTCTCATTGCTATTTGTCTCTCAGTAAAATTATGGGGAAAAAAATGGGACCAGTGAGATAGTTCAGCAGACTATAGTGTCTGCTTAGGCAAGCTTAGGCAAAAGCACAGGGACTATATGGTTCTATCCCCTGCACCAATGCTGTGCCAGCCACGCCCCTAGGGCGGGGTGAGCTGGCCAGAGTCCCAGTGCAGTGGCACACACCTGTAATCCCAGCACTGGGGAAGCTGAAAGCAGGAGGTTCACCATAGTCCAAGCTGTATAGTGAGACCCTGCAACAACCAAATACATTTTATTTATTTTTTTGAATTTATTTATTTTTTTATTAATTAATTAATTATGTGTGTGTGTGTGTGTGTGTGTGTGTGTGTGGCCAGCTCAGCCCACCAGGGGGCAGGGCTGGCTGGCATGTGGTGCTGGGG